TTTCTTCTCTAAAGCTGGGCTCCAGTGGCTCACGCCTGTCATCCTAGCTACTCAGGACACTGAGATCTGAGGATCATGGTTCAAAGCCAACCCCGGGCAGCAAAGTCCGTGAGACTCTTACCTCCAATGAACCACCAGAAAACCAGAAGTGGCACTGTGGCTCAAGTGGTAGAGCGCTCGCCTTGAGCTGAAGAGCTGAGGGACAGCACCTAGGCCCAAGGTTCAAGTCCCACAACTGCCCCCCCCCAAAAAAAGAAATTTCTTCTCTAAAATAGTCAACAGGAAAAGGCCTTCGAGCCACAAATTTCTTCTCATGAAATCAAAACTGTCCCCTGTGCCACATTGCCTCAGACTAGTGCAAGAGCTGTGTGTGTGTATGTATGTCATACCAGTACTGGGGCTTGAACTCAGGACTTTATACTCTTGCTCTATGGCTAGTGCTCTTCCATTTAAGCCGCGTCTCCTCCGCTTCAGGGTTTTTGCTAGTTAATTGAGATAAAAGTCTCTCCGATTTATCTGCCTGGGCTGGCTTTGAACCTTGATCCATCCTTATATCTCAGCCTCCTGTGTAACTAGGATTATAGGTGTGGTACACATTTATAGAGTACTCCTTGTACTGGAGCAAAGAGCAGCTGGAACCTCCCTGCCCAGTGTCTGCAACAGCATGGATAAATAAAACATCAGAGTATTCCAGCGGGGGAGTACTATGCAGCCATGAAAATGAGCAAACAGGTACTTACAAGCACAGTGTTGGATGGAGGAGGACGTGGCGGAATGGGATTCCAGCCACGTGGGCCCTAACGGCCTGTCCACACAGCATGGGCACCTCAAAGGGCCTTTGCCATGCTCACTTGGTTCCAGGTGCTTTTACCTCCTGGCTGAATCCTTCCTTTGTTCAATGCCCCAGGGCCCTGCAGCAAAATCCATTCTCCTCCTCCTCCGTCACTGTTACTATCGCCATGGCATTCTCTGCCCCCTGCCCTGCTGTGGGAGTCCAGTGGTAAACTCCCCACCCATAGCTCCATCCACAGCTCACACCCATGCGGGGGACCTTAGTTGTGAAAAAGGATTTTGCACATGTACTAAGCTAAGCGTCTTGACATGATTCTGCAGTAGGGTGGGCACTTTGTCCTTAGAGGCAAAGAAGACACACAGATGAGAAGCTGCTGTGAACACAGAGGCAGAGACTGGACGGATGTGTTGATCGATCGGCCGAGGACTGGAAGGCTGGCGGGTGACGACCAGAAGCTACAAGAGAGGACTGCTGCAGCAATCCCCCCAGCCTGCAGAAGAACCAAGTCTACCGACACCTCGATTTCACGCTTCTGAACTTGTGAGTGGGTACATTTCCGTTTTAAAGCCACCAAATAAAACAGGGAATGCACAGCTGGGAAATGAATGCCTAAACTACAGGACTTCATACTGTCGAAGACACTGGGGACGGTTTTGCTCATGATCTCTATCACATACTTGATAACGTAGCAGGCTTGTTCCCCCCAAAAGTGAATGTAGGAAGTCAGATCAATGAAGACTGGCGAAAGTCTCCTACTACTGTATGGTTAGATGTAATAGATGCAGACACCGGAGTGCTCCTCAGGGACAAAGGAGTGAATTGCTGGGGTGGAGCTAAGTGTAGCTCAGGGGTACACGGCCTGCCTAGCACGCAGGAAGCCATGGCTTCCAGCCTTTGCCCCCCCAAAATAAGCTACTGACATATGCTCCAATAGGGATGAATGTGAACTACATTTTGTGGAGTGAAAGGCAGACTTAGAGATTACTGTGTGATTCCAGGCAAGACCAGTCTATCCAGAGCAGAGCAGCGATTGCTGAGCCACGAAGGGGCTTCTTCAGATGATGTGTTCTGGCGGTGGTCACATGGGCCAAACCCATCAAACTGGATACTCTCTCTTATTTATTTGTGTGTGTGTGTGTGTGCCATCCCTGAGCTTTTTATGCTCAAGATTCCAATTGGTTTCCAACCACAGTCCTTAGGTCTCAGCCTCCTGAGTAGCTGGGATTACAGGTGTGAGCCACCAGCGCCCGGCTCAATCTGTACTCTCAACATGAGTGCATTGCTCTTTTATCACCTCACAGAGTTGACAGTGTAATAACGCAAATGTTTTCCTAAAGCCAATAGCGATGCAGCCTCAGACCCCTGTGATAAGAAGCCATAATTGATGTAGCAAGAATGTCTAGTACCAGGGGATAGAAGATGATAATAAAACCAGACTCACAAAACAAGTCGTTGGCAGTTACAGGGAAACAGAGATAATCAGGCCATGTGTAGGCCGCGCAGTGTCAGCAGCTCGCAGCCTTAGCAGTGCAAGGCTTCCGCCGGCTTCACAGGACAGCCCGCCTGGGAAGGGGTCATCTTCCCCATCACCTCTCTCCTGCTCCTCCATGTCTACCTGCCTTGCCTGCCCTCCCCCCTCCCTCCCTCCCCCCTCCCTCCTCCCTCCCTCCCTTGGTTCTGGGGTTTGAACCCAGGGCCTCATGCTTGCCAAGCAGGTTCTCTACCACCAAACCATGACTCCAGCCTCCCTTCTGCAGACAGATCGCTGCTTTCAGTGATTTACAAAGAGGAGTAAACACTAGTTGAACTATTCAAAGGTTACAGTTGAAGATGATTGGGGATCACACTTTTTTTTTTTTTAAGTTAATCATTTCTGGATGGCTTTCAAATAACAAGAGGTTTTACAAGGAAGGAAAATTCCAGGTCAGACTCTCTGGTGAGTAAGGATGCCCAAACCTCCCATTGTGTGTTTCAGCAAGACATCAAAGGCCAGCACCTACCGTCTGGGTCAGGCCCTGGCTGGGGAGACCCGATGGAGGCAGACACGTGTGTGAGCCCCGCTAGGGTGGAGCTGAGGGTTGTAAAAAAGGAAGGGAGCCAGCAGGATTGATTGCCAGGCCCAAAGAATTGCCAGACACCAGAGACCCTTGGCACGGGAGGGCCACACCTTTCTATTTCTGGGTTGGCTGCTACGCGTGCAGTGGCACTGGGAAGGGAGAGTGAACTTGGGCTAGGCGGTGTCCCCGGCCACACGGCCCACGAAGGGCGGACAGCAGAGGGCTGACTGCCAGCTGCTGAATGCGCAGGGAGGGGCCACAGTCCTTTAGTCCAGGAACAGAGCGAGCCCAAGGTCAGCCTCCGTGTGGTGGTAGGGATGAATTAATGAGCTGCGGGTAGAGTGAGAGTGAGCGTGTGTGCTGCGGCTTCCCCAGACAACACGAGGGACGGTAAGCTGAAGGTGGGAGCTTTCTGGATCCTTCTCCTCTACACCCCAAGGATGACAGCTAATCAAAACATGCAGAATGATGGGCGCGGTAGGTTACAGGCTAACCTGCTACTCAGAAGCCATGTCCAGACCACAGGGACAGAGCCTACTCCCGCTACAGCCACTCAGCAAAATGACAGAGGGCCAGGTGCCGGTGGCTCACGGCTGCCATCTACTTGGGAGGCTGAGATCTGAGGATCACAGTTCAAAGCCAGCCCAGGCAGGAAACTCCGTGAGACACTGATCTCCGATGAACCACCAGAAAACCAGAAGTGGTGCTGTAGCTTGAGTGGTAGACTATGCTGTGCTAAAGGATGCAAATAAGCCAAACGGAACAAGCCACACAAAAGGCGGCTAAGCCAGAAGCTAAGTTGTGCTTCCAGGCAGAAGCCGAAGCCCACCCGCTGCGGATGCGCCCCTCATTCCTGAGTGGTTAAGTTTCAGGGATTCAGAAATACTTCTGATTTTATTATCAGACAAGTGGGGACAGAATGCGCAGGGTTTCATCGAAGTTGCTCACATAAAACCCAAGTTGCAATTCTACTTCTCACACGCTCCTCCCCTCCTGGCTACCAGCGAGAGAGAACAGTGCAGGACACACCGTCGAGTTTGAGCCAGTGTGCAGTTACACGTTCTGTGTGTCTTTTTTACACAACTTCCTGGGCTGCAGACGATGCCATTGTGTTTTTGGAGCTACAGAAATACAGCACACACATGCACAAGCCTGACTGCAAGCAATGAGGAGTATGTGCCATGTCGAGGAACTCCTTTAATGAAAGATTTTCACTGCAGAAGCAGAGTGGCCTTTCTTAGAAGTGCTCGTGGAGGGGCGACACTTGCTTTGGAAGTGGGACAGTCCCAGATGGCTGGAGGTTCGTGTGTGGAAGGCCCTTCTTCCTGGAGCGCTACGGCGGTGAGCAGGTCTGCTGCCCAGGTTCTAATGGTTTATCCACAATCACCTGGCTATGTAATCAAAATGTACAGAAATGGAATTCAAACCTCTTGGTAACTCGTTCCTATAGATACATGTATACATACTGGACCTCAAAGTCCAGTCCTGAGATCTGCCACCTGCCGTTTAAGTTTTTGAAGTTTGTTTTTTTGCCAGTCCTGGGGCTTGAACTCAGGGCCTGGGCGCTGTCCTTGAGCTTCATTTGCTCAAGGCTAGCGCTCTACCACTTGAGCCACAGCGCCACCTCCAGCCTTTTCTCTGTGTGTGGTACTGAGGAATCAAACCCAGGGCTTCATGCATGCTAGGTGAGCACTCTTACCACTGAGCCACCTTCCCAGCCCCTTGTCGTCGTTTTCTGAAGCATATACTTTAAAGGAATATTCTGGAAACAAGTTGAAAAGATTTCTCTGAGTCCATTTGTTTTCTCAAGTGTAGAGGTACAAGGGGGATCTGAGTTCCCCTGAGACTCAAGTGCTAAGTCTTGCTGCCTAAGATGCCTGTCCCGCCCCTGCTGAAACATCCTTCGGCTAGACAGAGCAAAGCCCCACATGCTCACTGTGGTTATCTGCCTTATCTAGAATAGACATGATCTGCATTTCCCAAACCTTGTTTGATGCTCAAGCAAGAGTAAATGCATTCAGAATTTCATTTTCAAAAACAGAAATAAGATTTATTTGTAATCGCTATCTTGGACCACTCTTACTTCTTTTCACCTTTGGGGAATGGATGATGAGAGGCATACCAGCTTCTCTAGGATGTATTTTTCTTTAAAAAAGACACTCTTTATCTGAACACACAGGCTAAGACCCTCTGCACGGAACCGTTCTCTGCATGCACACGGAGACTGCGGAGCCCTGAGCACACAGCCCCTTCCGGCAAGAGAACTGAAAAGTCAGAACTTTCATTGTAAGCATTAAAAGCAAAGCTTCAATATTAGAAAAATAGGAGCGAGACTAGATGATGACAAAGTACTTGGGAACAGGTGCCCGCTGCGGGAGGGGCGGCTCCACGGCCAGGTGGCAGGCTCTGGGGGCCATCTTCAGGCGTCAGTCAGTCTTCAGCCTCGTATCTGGAATGTAAACGAGCACAGCCATGAGGCCTTTGGTCCCGGCTTTCCTAATAGCTGTCAGATAGGTTTGCCTGACCATCTCTAGCAGCTAGCGCAGTCGTGCTGCAGGGCGCCATTTTCTCTCTTTTCTGGGTCACTACTGGGAGGTGTTGGGTATGTTCAGGAGTTAGGATGGCACTCAGTGCTCTCTCTTCAGCAGTTAGATCCCAGATGGCTGAGTACCACCCTCAGCTCAACATCCACAGCAGTGACGACGTGAGTTACGGGTCAGGAAGCTCCTGTGAGACCAAATCTCATGCTGAATTCACTTTCTGGCTAGTGCCTCACGCCTGTAATCCCAGCAACTCAGGAGGCTGACATCTGAGGACTGAGGTTTGATGCCAATCCAGGCAGGAAAATCCATGAGACACTTATCTCCAATGAATTAGCAACCAAAGGCAGAAGTGGAGCTGTGGCTCAAGTGGTAGAGCACCAGCCTTGAGTGAAAAAGCTCAGGGACAGCCAAGTTCAAGCCCTAGTATTGGCACGCATACACACACACACACAAACACACTTGGATTTGTACTCTGTAATGTGGTAAAGAAAAAAAGCTGGCTGAATTTCTAGGCAAAACCACGGATGACAAAGCTAACTCTGGTTGGCAGATGACGCGGGAGTGGGCAGACCCCATAGAGGAGAAGTGTCTACAGATGCCTTTCCCGCTTCGTGACTTTCACTGCAAGACCCAGTACAGCGAGAAGCGTGGAAAGCTCTAGCTGTGCTAGAGCAGCGGCCTGGTGCGTCCTGCGGCCAGGCCAGGCAGCGGGCCCTGCTTCTCTCACACAGAAACCCTGAACAAAGTGAAGGAGCCTGGGCCCGGGGCCTGCGCGCCGGGTGCACACGGCGGAGCCTGGGCCCGGGGCCTGCGTGCCGGGTGCACACGGCGGAGCCTGGGCCCGGGGCCTGCGTGCTGGGTGCACACGGCGGAGCCTGGGCCGGGGGCCTGCGTGCCGAGTGCACACGGCGGAGCCTGGGCCCGGGGCCTGCGTGCTGGGTGCACGCGGCGCAGGGGCAGCGGCTTCCTTACTTTGCCAGTCGTTTCCTCAGGTCTTTGATCTGGTCGTTCTTCTTGGTGAGAATCTCTTTCATGTTTCGATAGGCTGCTGTCTGTTGAAATTTCTTCTCTAATTCCTGTGCAAGCAAAAGAATGCCAGCTGTTACTAACAGAGAGTTACGCAGAGAATAACACGTGTGATGGAAAGGCATTTTTAAATTTTTTTGGCAGTCGTGGGGCTTGAACTCAGGGCCTGGGTGCTGTCCCTGAGCTTTTTCACTCAAGGCTATTACTTTACCACTTGAGCCACACTGCCATTTCCAGTTTTCTACTGGTTCATTGGAGGAGAGAGACAGACTTTCCTGAGTTGGTGTGGAACCACGATCCTCAGATCTCAGCCTCCTGAGTAGCTTAGGAAGACAGACATAAGCCACCAGCACCCAGCAAAAAATGAGTATTTTGCTCTAAACTTACTGATTCTTTGCTTAATTTCTGATTTCCTTACAAAACGTACTTATTTACCTAAATGTTTAAAAACATGGTTTCAAATGAGAAGCCAATACAATTGTAATACTTCCCCATAACATGTTAGCAAAGTAATTCAAGTACACTATATCCCAAACATCAGAAAGCTTTATGAAATCCAACCAAGCCAATATATATGCACATGTGCACGCACGTGCACACACAGAAGATACCATATATACTTATTACTCATCCTTGTTCCGTTGTTACCCAACCCCCAGCAGAACGTGTATTAAACCAACTTTTAGGTAAAATAAACATAATCTTTTTTTAAATCCCAGAGCAATGCCAGTATTTTAGGAAGAAAATTTTTTATTATAATGAATTCTTTTTCTCTTTTAGTAGTTCTGAGGTTGAGTTCAGGGCCTCCAGCTTGCTATGAAGGTGTTTTATAGGTAAGCCAACTTTTTACACTTTATTTTGTGGAGAGTCTCCTATTTTTACCTGGAGCAATCTTAGACCAGGAACTCAGGCAAAGGATTTTTAAAATTAAACTTTAGCATCCTACTGTAAATAGGTGTAGAAGAAGAATGTCATTCCTCTCTGTACATAACTAACGTTAAGATAATACAATAAAACTGGGAGTGGCGCTGTGGCTCAAGTGATAGAGCACTCGCCTTGAGCTGAGGGACAGTGCCCAGGCCCAGAGTTCAAGCCCCACGACCAACCAAGAAAAAAAAAAAAAAGATACAAGAAAAGGTCTAAACTTAAAAAGTGTGCCCGTGCCCCGAGTACCATCATTCACAGAACCCTGAGAACCGGTCTGGCCACCCTGGGTTCATCTCCGTCATCCGGGTCCCTCAGTGCTGCATGCGTCAGCTAAGCAGACACAAGCACACGCAGCCGGCACGCAGCCCACACCTTCTCGGCCATGCTCAGCTGCTCCTGAACCCGGAGGAGGTCGTGCTTGGCTATGACGAGGTTCTCCTCCAGGGACTTCTGGTTTTCGGTCTTGTCACTGAGGGTCTTCTGGAACTCGCTCTTGAGAGCTGCCACTGTGTTTTCCAAGTCACTCAGGTCTTGGGACTTGGTCAAGTCCTTAGGAAAAGGAAATAGGTGAGCATGGCTTCCTGTTGAGATCTGGTGTTTTAGAAGGCGCTGTGGGCAGGGCACCCTTGGCCCAAGGGGTTGTGTCTCGCCCAGAGCAAATGCTCAGCAGTCACCGACTTGTAAATGTACGAAATGTGACTTAGGAATGACCTGCATCCCAGTCTGCACGGAATGGAGCAGGTGTCAACACCTGTGTACCTGAGTTAAGATGGCAACGAAGTTTCATTTTGAAAACTAAAAAAAAAAAAAAAATCCTTGGTTTTAAAAAAAAATCGCCTGGTGCTGGTGGCTCACGCCTGTCATCCTAGTTACTCAGGAAGCTGAGATCTGAGGATTGAGGTTCAAAGCCAGCCCAGGCAGGAAAGTCCGTGAGACTCTGATCCCCAATGAACCAGCAGAAAACTGGAAGTGGTGCTGTGGCTCCAAGTAGCAGAATACTAGACTTGAGCAAAAGAAGCTCAGGCCCTGAGTTCAAGCCCCACAACCGACCAAAAAAAAAAAATCTAAATTCTTTCAGATGGTCTAGGTAGTAGGAAAACCCCACAAAATAACATTTCTATCAAAAATTCAGCAGGTGTATGCTTCAGGCATTACTTAAAAGACAACATGATCAGCTAATAATGATGACTGAGTCTTTGTGTTTGTTTTCAAGATTTTAAGTCTCCAATACAGGGCAGGAAATGGGCATTCTTCCTACTGGGTGAGGAGAGGGAGAGTGAGGGGAGGATGAAGTAGGACTTAATTGTAAACTTTTGACTTCTTTCCACTTAGAAAATGTGAGATAGCTCAAACTTGAACTCACCTGCTTATTTCCTTGGTCAAGTTGTAAATCTTGAAGTGCCTTTTCTAGTTTGGACTTCTCATCCAGTGCATTTGTAGCCTGTAATCAAGTTTAGAGAGAGCACACTGGGTACTTAATATTGTGGTAAGGTCGTTTCTAACTTTGTGAAAGGAATTCTCAATTACCTGCGTTTCAATGGTTTTCAGCCTTGATTTCAACCTCTCATTCTCTTCCTGTAGTCTCAATATTTCCTTGGTGAGGAAATTCAAGTCTCATTATTGTAATTCAGAATCGGAAATTATTTGAAAAAAAAAAGTGTTTCACTTCAGAACTTAAATACAATCAAAACAAATACTCCAAAAACAAGAACCAAACCCGCATGCCCTGGTCAGCGGCAGTATCTCAGTTTCTCTCGGCCCAGCGGCCTCGACACCTTGGAGTAAGCTTTGCTCTAAGACTTCCTGCCCCTTTTCTCTGAAACACACCACCCCTCTGTCAGCCCTTCCCCCAGCCATTCTCCACAGCCCCGCCCCTAACGTCCCTCCAGCTGCTGACCTCCAGCTCCTGCATCACTCATCCCAAACACACATCTGTAAACTCTGTGCACCTGCTCAAGCCAGAAGGGTTCTGAAGGAGACAGGGCAGCCAGGACACGAGAGCCCCGTGTGACTGTCCGGTCTTGTTTCTCAATGTCCTCAAGCACTGCTTAGCGGGGACTCGGACTACTGTGTTCCTTGGCCTGACAGTCCTTCCTTTCTGTGACAGAGTAAAGCCTTCGCCTCCAAGGCCCAGCCCAGGGGCCACCCTACCCTAGCACCTGGATCACTGCACCCCGGGGACGGCACAGAACACAAGGGATTCTCTTATCTTGGCTCTGTCCTTCCAGTGAAACTACCAGATTTTTGACCGTGAAAGTCCAGGTATTATTATTATCAGGTAGGAGTCTTGGTTTTATCTCTAGCAGAATGTTGAGAATATAGGAATCATGAAAAATTGGATTCTGATCATGTTTAGAAATTTTAAAAAAATCCTAGATATTATATGGATCACAAATTCAAAAGCCCATCAATAAACATTGTCCAAAAAAAAAAATACCCTCTTAAGCTGGATGCCGGTGACTCACGCCTGTCATCCTAGCTACTCAGGAGGCTGAGATCTGAGGACCACAGTTCAAAGCCAGCCTGGGCAGGAAAAGTCCTAGAGACTCTTCTCTCCAGTGAACCACCAGAAAATGGGAAGTGGCGCTGTGGCTCAAGTGGTAGAGCGCTCGCCTTGAACTGAAGAGCTGAGGGATAGCGCCGAGGCCCAGAGTTCAAGCCCCACTTCTGACAAAAAGAAATCTCTTCACTGTATCATGGAAAGATGAGAGAAGGCAAGCATGCGGTTTTCTGGCAGCTGGGCACTATCTCGTCAAACTCTGCGGTAGACTTATGACCTTCTTCCTCCCACGACTACCCTAGTGCAGACTTAAGAGGTGACCACATTACCTTGTTTAGGAGTTCTGTTGTTCCGCCTTCATTAAGTGGAACAAGTTTTGGCTTTGTGATATCTATGATGGGCTGAAACAAAAGAAAGAGCTCAAGTTGTGGTCACCCAAGTAAAGCATGTGTCATCATGTGCACTTTTTTTTTTTGTCAGTTGTGGGGCTTGAACTCTGGCCTGAGTGCTGTCCCTCAGCTCTTCAGCTCAAGGCTAGAGCTCTACCACTTGAGCTACAGCACCACTTCCAGTTTTGTGGGGTTTATTGGAGATAACATTTTCACGGTGGGCACTGGTAGCTCACACCTGTCATCCTAGCTACTCAGGAGGCTGAGATCTGAGGATCGTGGTTCAAAGCCAGCCCGGGCAAGAAAGTCCATGAGACTCTTTATCCCCAATAAACCACTAGAAGACCAGAAGTGGCGCTGTGGCTTAAGTGGTAGAGCACTTGCCTTGAGCTGAAGAGTGCAGGGACAGCACCCATGCCCAGAGTTCAAGCTCCGTGACCGACCAAAAAAAAAAAAAAATGTTTCACGGACTTTCCTGCCCAGGCTGGCTTTGAACCGCCATCCTCAGATCTCAGCCTTCTGAATAGCTAGGATTACAGGCTTGACCACCGGTGCCCAGCCGAATGTGCACTTTCTAAGCAGAAGATGGCTACACAAGCATTTCCACCGAGATGTCAGGTTCCCGGGCCCGGGCCCCTGCTGTTTATTCTGAATATGGCCCAGTGCCTAGGACATGCCTGGCCCATAACTTTTAGATACGTATGGGAGGAGGAGGAGGAGAGAAGGAAGGAGGGAGCTCAAAGTTGCAATACTGCCGAGATTTAGGCTTATGCAACAGGTGAACACTAACTTCATATGGATACCCGGACAGTTGTATAGAAGGTAGTAAAAACAAGAATCCATGCTCTCTGATCCGGAGTTTTCTCAGCCAAAAATAAGCCCCAAAGGCATCAACAGAATGCATTTCTTTTTTTTTTTTTGGCCAGTCCTAGTGCTTGGACTCAGGGCCTGGGCGCTGTCCCTGAGCTTCTTTTGCCCAAGGCTAGTGCTCTACCACTTGAGCCACAGCGCCACTTCCAGGTTTTCTCTTGAGTAATATATTGGAGGTAAGAGGCTCATAGACTTTGCTGCCCAGGCTGGCTTTGAACTGTGACCTCAGATCTCAGCCTCCTGCGTAGTGAGGATTGCAGGTGTGAGCCACAGGCCTTACCAAGAAGCATTTCTATGTGTCTCTGTGTGCGTTCAACTTAGCAGTCTTTCAGGTCTTGACAACAGAGATGGGATACAGTGCACCTGTGAAATGGAATGCTAAGTAGCATCACACGGAAAGACAATGTGAGAAAGACAAGTCATTACTACTACTGCCTCCATGTGACCTTGGATACCCTGCTCAAGGTCACAAAGCTGGGGAACAACACAGCTAAGATTTAAACTTGGGTCTGCCTCACTCGGAAGCCAGTGCTGTATAACAGCTGGGTGAATAGTTTGCTTGGCTGAGATTCAGAATGGACTGTAGGGAGAGAGGGGGGGGGGGGAAAGGGAGAGGGAGAGAGATAATAGACAAAAACATTTTTAACAGTTACTTCCAAACTTTTGTCTGCAAAATCTCACAGGCAATTTGTGAATTCTACTCTTAACCCGAAAGTTCTCAGCTACCCCACAAATGTCTAAGGGCCTTGAGCATTTTAAATACTTGCTATTAAGAGGGACAGGCTGAGGTTGACCAAAAATTACCTTTTTATTTGAAGATGTAAATTCTGATTTTTCAAATTCTGCAACTTGTTCTAATAATTCTCTTGAGGATAAAAAGCAAACAAAGAAGAATATTTACTTACAATATATTTAAGCAGAACAAAAGACTAATAAAAATCAATGGAACCAAACTATCACAAGCTAAAGAACACAAATTAGACCAAACTTTACAACATCTAAAGTAAATAATAGGGCCAGGCACCGGTGGCTCATGCCTGTAATCCTAAGTACTCAGAAGGCTGAGATCTGAGAATAGTAATTTGAAGCCAGCCTTGGCAGAAAAGTCCCATGAGACTCTTGTCTCCAGTTAACCCTCAAAACCCAGAAGTGGCGCTGTGGCTCAAGTGGTAGAGAGCCTTAAGAACAAAGAGGTTCAGGGACAGTGCCCAGGCCCTGAACTCAAGCCCTACAACCAACAGCAACAACAAGAAGTAAATAATAGTCACAAATGGTTGAGAATCTAATGGACTCACTAGATGTGGGTGCAAATTGAATCATCTTTGGCACTTTGTGTTGTGTGACTGGGATTTGAACTCAGGGCCTTGCTAAGTGGGTAGTATACCAAACTACTTGAGCCACTCTGCCAGCCCTTTTTCACACTGGATTATTTTGAACAAGGGTCTCACTTTATGCCTGGGCCAGCCTAGACTGTGATCCTTCTATTTCTGCTTCCATGTGCTGCTGGGTTGACAGGCATGCATTACCATGCCCAGCCACTAGTCAAAATGAAACTCCCCTTGGCCCTTCATAATGGCTTTTTTTTTCCTCCCCAAATTGGCATTAAACTACAATCCTCCAGTCTCTGCCTCACAATTAGGATCGCAGGCTTGAGCCTCTATGGTCCTGTTACACATATAATAAGAGACTGCTAGCAATAAAGCTTAATGTTAATACATGAGTGAATCTGTATTTCTCTGAGTGTCTGTATCTCTGAGGTGCGTGGAGAGATCACTCTATTTCATAATAAACACCATTTGCTAACGATGTGATTTTTAATAAAGCCCTCTCAGAAAATGAAGTTCATCTACAACATTTCCTAAAAATAGCATCTCATCTTCCTAGGAAAGGTAGATGGGGTGAGGGCGCCACCTGATGGTTTGCAAAGAGAAAGTAAAGCTGACAAATAACTCTTCTAAGCTTCTTTAAAACCCAAGTCTCCAAGTCCTCTCCGGTCACCTCACAGTTGTACGAGGTCAGTGATCTCCCTTCCCTGTAGTGTTGGTCGGCACTCCACGGGAGCCAGCATGGATGACTCTGCTGTGGCAGGCGTGGCAGAGTTGCCACCCTTCTCTATTTCTTGTGGGTTTTTCTTCGCTGGGACTTGAGTTTTTCTTCACTCAGGGACTCAGTTCGATCGTTTCGCTTTTTCTCTCAAGGCTGGCATTCTATACCATTATGCCACTTTTTGCCGGTTAATTGGATAAAGAATCTCTCGGACTTTCCTACCTTGGGCTGGCTTTGACCCATGATCCTTAGATCTCAGCCTCCTGAGAAACCAGGCGTGAGCCACAGGCTATATTATAGCCTGGCTGATAGGCTTTTTCTTACAGGCAGTTCCAGTTTTGCTGCCTTTACTGTAGTTTGTAAAACTAAATGTGCTCTCCAACATTGTTAGGCTCAACAACATTTCACCAACCTTTTGTATTTTAAAGATAAACATAGGAGTGGCTGGGAAGGTAGCTCAGTGGTAGAGCGCTTGCCTTGCACGCATGAGGCCCTGGGTTCGATTCCCCAGCACCACATAAGCAAAAAGAAAAATGTCAGAAGTGGTGCTGTGGCTCAATTGGTAGAGCGCTCGCCTTGAGCTGAAGAGCTGAGGGACAGCGCCCAGGCCCAGAGTACAGGCCCTACGACCGGACCCAAAAATAAATAAATGAAGATAAACATAGGAGTTTTACATGCAATAACTTAGAAATAAGCTTGTAATGCTACGTGTTTGAACCGATGGTAATTATTATATTTGAATTAATTTCTCATTACATATTACATAGTCTTTATTTCTTAGCTGATTATAAAGACTGACTATAATACTCTTCAAGGTAACAAGAGCTGCTATAAGCAATTAATGGTGCGTGAAGACAACTTATATGCTTTAGAGGCCTTTTTTAAAGTAGGTTGAAACTGGCTGCCTGTAGCTCCTATCTGTAATCATATCTACTGAGAACGCTGAGATCTGAGGATCTCAGCTTAACGCCACCCCAGGTAGGAAATGAGACTTTTATTTTCAAATAACTAGGAAAAAAAAAAAGCCAAAAGTGGAGTTGTGGCTCAAGTGGCAGCGCACTAGCCTTGAGTGAAAAAGCTAAGTGTGCACAAAAGCTAAGAGATGGCACCCAGGCCCTGAGATTAAGCCCCGTACCAACACACAGACACACACAGACTGAATAGTGCCCAAGAGACTGCTCAGCACCTTGTGCTAGCCTACCCAAAGTTTCTTGCCCCAGTATTCCAAGAAGAAAAGCAGCAATGTCATGCCCTAACTGTACCACTGTGGATACAAATTCTTTTACCTGTTTTCTAGCTCCGAGACGTCTGTCTGTAGCTTTAGGTACCATTTCTCAGCCTGTGCAAACAGCTGCCGTAGGAGAAGAACATTGGTATAAGCAGTGTTGATGAGCTCTGACTCCACCTCGCTGTGGACCACGGTCTGCAACCCATTCAGGACTTCGGAGACTTCGTCCGCGGTGAAGGTCTCCTCCACCAGCCTGAGAAAAACACGTGGGATCCCAGCTTCTACATATACAAGAAAAGCAACTTACCAGATCCCAACCCATATTCCTGAACTCTAAAAGCAACTTACCAGATCCCAACCCATATTCCTGAATTCTAAAAGGATTACAGGTAAAAAGCTCTCTAGGAACTGTCTTCTTTGGCAATAAAGCAGATGGGAAAGAAATTAAGGTCAATTTTCATATTCAACGGACCAAACTGTGGCACATTCTTTAAACACGCATGGTGACAAACATTCCTGTACGTTTTTAAATTTCACCTATTCTTTAACCTTTTCAGTAAGAATTTATTTAAATCTAAATTTGTCCTATTTCATTTAATAACTTGTAAGTCACCACAAACAGTTTCACCTTTTTTTTTCCTATTATTTCTGTGGCATTTTACTGGTTGTCTGAATAATGCACATGTTGGTAAACACTTGTGAGGGATAAATGGTAACAATCTCTCACTAAATATTTAGTATTCTTGGGACTCAAAGGAAAAAAAACTTAAAAAACCCATCCTACTCCACAAAAATGACCCCCATTATCAATTATAGCATTGTTAACTTACTCTTAGCTGCGTATGATAACTTGCACCTTTGATAATCTTAGAAATGGATTGTTACAACCTCCGCCCTAGCATCTCCATACCCATCACCAGAAACGATCCACATTCTTATTTGGTTTCCTTAAGAGTTCCCTGAAACCTGGGAACCAATGGCTTATGCCTGTAATTCTAGCTACTCAGGAGGCTGAGATCTGAGGAGTATGGGTTGAAACTAGCCAGTGCAGCAAAGTTCATAGACTCTTCATCTCCAATAAACTACCAAAAGCCAGAAATGGAACTGTTTCTCAAGTGGTAGAGTGTAAACATTGAGCAAAAGAAGTTTAAGAGCAATGCCCAGGCCCTGAGTTCAATCCCCAAGACCAGCACCAAAAAGAAAGAAAAAGAAAAAAAAAAAAAAGGAAGGAAAGAATGAATGAATTCCCTGATACCTGCTCTCCTTGAGGTCTTGGAAGCAGGAGTCTACAGTTTTGAGTCTCAAGATTCTCTTTGAACGAGCAAAGCGCATATAATTAATAACTTCATTTTGGTGGTGTTCATTTAAGCCCAACTCTGCCTGAGAAAACAGAAGTAAGTTGTTAGTCATGAAAAACTGACAAACTAACAAAAATACACAGAAAGGCCAAGTGCCTGTCATCCTAGCTACTCGGGAGGCTGAGACCTGAGGATCCCAGTTTGAAGCCAGCCTGGGCAGGGAAGTCTGTAAAACTCTTATCTCAAATTAAGCACACCAAAAGCTAGAAATACTCTGTAGATGTCAAGTCGGTTTGGGTTAGGGTGTCCCAGAGGCTTCTTTGCTGGTGTTCTGTTTGGCTGGTCTGTCCTTTGGTGAGAGTTTATTCATTTTTGGGTGAAGGGAAAGCAGATCCATGATCTTGACCATGCAACGCTGAAGCACAATCACTTGAGTGTCAGATCTCAGTGGCAGAAATTTTTTAAATGGGTTGGAAGAAATGCCATGAATGGGGGACCCTGAGATGAAGAGATCCCGTATTGGAAAGGTGGATTCTTTTGAGTAACTTTATAAAGTTGCAATTCTCCTCCCCCCAAGCTCCTCGAACTCTTGGATTAATTTTTTTAAATTGTTACTATAAAGGTGATGTACAGCGGGATTACAGATCTGCAAGTCAGATGCAGAGTGTGTTTCTTTTGGGGCCAGGTCCCCCCCCCCAGTTGTATGGTTCATTTCCAACATAGCGTCAAATGCATACCACGTCTGCTTTTTTGGTTGGTTTGGCGCCGGTCCTGGGGCTTGACTTCGGGCCCCGGGCTCTTTCCCTAACCTTTCCCCCCCTTTTTCCTCCTCCAGGATGTACACCATTCCATTTCCAGCTTTCTGGTGGTTCACTGGCAGGTAAGGGTCTCAGGGACTTTCCTGCCGAGGCTGGCTTCGAACTGTGATCGTCCGCGGAGCTAAGGCAAGCTGGGGGCACTGAACTCATGTCTGGGGGAAGGAGGGACCAGTAAAAAAAAAAAAAAACCAAACCAACCCTGCGTGTGTGCGCATGCGTGAACGCCCCCTCCCAACACCGGCCACCTGTGCAGAGGCGAAGGCGGGGCCGGGGGAGCCGAAGTGTGCGTGTGCGCATGCGCGAAGGCCCCGTCAACACCGGCCACCTGTCAGAGGCGAGGGCGAGGGAGCCAAAGGTGTGCGCATGCGCGAAGGCCCCCTCAACACCGACCAGCTGTCAGAGGCGAAGGCGAGGGAGCCAAAGGTGTGCGTGTGCGCATGCGCGAAGGTCCCTTCAACACCAGCCACCTGTCAAAGAGGCGAAGGCCGGGCCGAGGGAGCCGAGGGTGTGCGTGGGCGCATGCGCGAACGTCCCATCAAAGCCCGCCACCTGCGGGGCAGGCCAAAGGTGTGCGTGTGCGCATGCGCCAACGACGTCCACCTCCCCCCCCCCGCCCCCGCCGTCTCCTCCAAACCCGCTCGCCGCCGGACCCGCAGGGCGGAGGGGTGTCCGGGCGGCCCGGGCCTCGCCCGCGCGCAGGGGGACTCGGGGCGAGGGCCTTCCCGGAGCCTGCGCCGCCCGGCGGCCCGCCGTCCCGGGCGAGCCGGCGCTGCGCGGGGGGCCTCGGCTGCACTCACCATGGCGGCGGCGGGGAGGAGTCCGGAGCCGAGCCCGGCGGCAGCCACCAGGTGAGTCGTCTGCCCGCCGCGTTGACGCGTGTCCCCGCCCGCTGGCCGGGACCGCCAGTGGTCGGAGGGAGCGGCAGGTTGTTTGGAAGCCTCCGGTTGCTAATGGGAACGGAGGCGCGAGGACGCGCGGCCGCCGGCCCTCCCCCCACCCCCCCTCCGCGCAGCTGTACGGGCTTCTGATTGGTCCGTGAGGACCACGCGGCGCGGAAGTGTCTGGGAACCGAGCTCGTTCCGCCGTGCCCAATTGGCTGGCGTTGCCTCCGGAAGTCCCGCCTTGTGGTGCACGTTGACCGCGAGGGCCGGCCGCCGTTGCCCCTGGTAACCCGGGGGTGGGGGTGGGGGGCATGGTAGGTCCCCAGTGCGCATGCGCGCTTCAGGATGGGGTCTAGCTTGTGGGGCTGACCTCTGGGGCTGCTTTTCTACCCTTGCGCTGGGTGGTCTTTGCGAATTTCAGACTATGGTTATTATTTAGTTGACAAATAATTTATTTTAATCACGATTTTATTATTTTTAAGGTATTGTGCAGATGCTTACCATTTTTTAAAAATTGTCTTATGTAGCCGGGCGCTGGTGGCTCACGCCTGTCATCCTAGCTACTCAGGAGGCTGAGATCTGAGGATCGCAGTTCAAAGCCAGCCCGGGCAGGAGAGACCGTGAGACTCCTATCTCCAATAAACCACCAGAAAACCGGAAGTGGCGCTGTAGCGCAAGTGGTAGAGCGCTCACCTTGAGCTGAAGAGCTGAGGGACAGCGCCCAGGCCCAGAGTTCAAGCCCCACGACCGACAAAAAAAAAATTGTCTTATGTAGTTGTACAAAGAGATTCTACAAAACAGTATATAAATACGTTTCTATTGTTGTGGTTGCTGTCATTAAGTAGCTGTACTGAGGGGCTACAGTTCCCTAAGTCAGGTTATGAGTGCCAGGCTTCTTGGTCAATAGCACCTTTCTTAGTTTTGTTCTATTCTCCCCCCCCCCCCTCAAGTGACATAGTTCATTAAGTACGCATTTCAGACTTCACCGCTCAAGGGTATAAGGTGTGGGGGTCTGTACACCTTTATTTTTCTCAGGGTTTCTACCTGTCTGAGACAGGTTGACCTGTGAGCATTCCAGCATCCAGATAGCCCCCCCAAAAACCCTTACTCCGTCTATTATTTCCCCTTGGGCTGCTGGCAAAGGTCTCTAATTTAGCACCTCTTTGCTTTTACAATAACTGCAAAAACATAGTGAAGCCTGTTTGACAAATAACTTCGCCAGCCTCACCCTCTCCCTTCTCCCCTGGCTTTCTGATGGATGACGTCTCACTTGAATAGTTAGAATCTGCAAATATTGGTTACGCCATCCACCCAGGAATCATCAGACCACTGTTTTAAGACACACGGGTCCTAGAAAAGTTGTTGTAAGCAGAGATTATTTCCAAGCCCCCCCTCCCATTTGAGTGCATTTAGTCCATCAAGGGGGCTCACTTAGCAGGCTGGGAAAACAAACAGGAGGCATTTAGGTAGCTAACAGGTGAGCCCTGTTTCGTAGGCTTGAGAGATTTAAAACAGGAGAGGACACTTGGCATTAGCTGACCCTGAACAGAAGAGTTAATTAAAAATTTTTATTGTTATTAAGGTGATGTACAGAGGTTGCCAGTTTCTTAAGTCAGGTAATGAGTATATTTCTCTTTGGACAATGTTGCCAATTTCTTCCAGAGAATATCTCCTTTAGTCTTTGTTTGGCCCTGAGTTTGTTTGCTCAAGGCTAGTACTCTATCACTTTGAGCTACAGCTCCATTTCCAGTTTACAGGTGGTTAATTGAAGATCAGAGTCTCATGGCCTGTCCTGCATGGGCTGGCTTTGAACCATGATCCTCAGATCTCAGCTAGGACGATAGGCATATGAGCCACCAGCGCCCGGCTTCCTTCTTTAATCTTACTGTGTGTGAATGCCTAGAGTCATGTCTTGGTGTATTTTAGTCTGTGTTTCTGCATATGAGAGGAAACACATACCATTTGTCTCTTTGAGGGTTGGCTTAGCTTACTTAGCATGATTTGTTCTAGGTCCATCTATTTTCTTGCAAATGACATGTTAACTCTTTGTAATGATTGTGTAAAATTCTATTATGTATAAGGACCACACCTTTTTTCTTTTTGATCCATTCATCTGTTGTAAGGTATCTGGGCTGTTTCCATAACTTGGCTTTAGTGAATCGTGCAGCCAGTGAACATGGGTGTGCTAAGGTCTTTACTGTATCCTGGCTTGTGATGTTCTGGGTAGATGTCCAAGAGTAGTATAGCCGCCGGGGCGTAGTGAAGAGCTATGTTTAGTTTTCTGAGAGACCTCCAGCCTGCTGTCCAGAGTAGTTGCACTAGTAATAGGGTTCATTTTTCCCCAGAGCCCCACCTGCATTTGTTGTTAGAATTCTTGATGTGGGCCAATCTAATGGGGGTGAGATGGAATCTCACAGTTGTTTTGATTTGCATTTTCTTTATGGCCAGGGATGTTGATCATTTCCTCATATGTTTATTTGCCATTCTTCCCTCTTTCTTTTCTTAGTCTATGTAGTGAGTGGTGTATTAATTTTGGGAGTGGGGATGGGGGGTTAAGTTCTTTTCTTTCTTTATTGTCGGTTGTGGATCTTGGACTCTGGGCCTGGGTGCTGTCCCTGAGCTATTCAAGAGCTCAAGCGGGGGCCTTGAAGCGGTGTGATAGAGCCAGTTCCCAAAGCAAAACCAGATAGCACATAGCAACTGTTCTCATACAGATTCTGGTTTCTGGGACGGTTGTTTCTCTTCTCGTTTCTTGCCAGACATTTTTATTCTCAACCATAGAATATGATGCAGAAAGCTTCCTAGGTGTTCAGTTCTTTTCCAAGTAAACTTAAAACTTGGGTTGTCAGAGCAGCAGCCGGCTCTGCCCAACTTCACCTTTGGCCAGATGTTCTGTCCTTGCTTGGGCTCCCAAGTGTCATCTGGGTAGAATCAGCCTCATTGCAAGATCCTTAAGGACAGGGCCTCTCATTCCTCCCCCAACCCCCACAGCGCTCGCTTTCGAAGCTCAGGTAAAATTTCCACGTTAGCACGGTTCTGTTGAGTGATTTTATGGAACACACACACACACACACACACACTCTCACACTGGGAATTTCACAGAAGCTTTTTTTTTTTTTTGGGTCCGGTCGTGGGGCCTGAACTCTGGGCCTGGGCGCTGTCCCTCAGCTCTTCAGCTCAAGGCTAGCGCTCTACCACTTGAGCCACAGCGCCACTTCCAGCTTTTTGCTTATGTGGTGCTGAGGAATCGAACCCAGGGCCTCAGGCATGCAAGGCAAATGCTCTACCACTGAGCCACCTGCCCAGCTCCTCACAGAAGCTTTTAGGACATGAAAGGATTGCCAAGAAAACAAAGTGTATTTTCCCACAAACAACGTTCTATGAATGTCGCTAAGCTTATCACTGCTGGAGGAGGGGGAGTTATGAATGTACACTGCCTGTGTTTCATTTGTGAAGATGTTTGTGGCTTGGGGATTTGTTTTTTTTTTTGGGGGGGTCCAGTCGTGGGGCCTGAACTCTGGGCCTGGGCGCTGTCCCTCAGCTCTTCAGCTCAAGGCTAGCGCTCTACCGCTTTAGCCACAGCGCCACTTCTGGCTTTTTTCTCTTTGTTTATGTGGTGCTGAGGAATCGAACCCAGGGCCTCAGGCATGCAAGGCAAGCGCTCTACCACTGAGCCACCTTCCCAGCCCTTGGGGATTCTTTTTTTAAACTGCATCAGCTGGTTCTTCTATTTTCATCTACTCTGTACCAGGAGATAAGGAGATCACGGTGGGCCAGTCTACCCAGCAGAGGTGGATGGTGTGACACAAGCTGTCCAAATGGCAAGTGAGGAAGACGTCTTTGCAGCCTCGAAGTAATGAAGTTGGTTGGGAAAGGGCTGAACTTGTACTGCAGGTTGTTGACTAGCTTGGGTTGCTCACCAGAGCAAATAATTCCAACTGTGAGAAAGAACAGTTCAGTGCTACCCTACTTCAACAAGAGTTCTGTAGGCTCATGCCTTTTTGAATTTGAAAGTGTGACACTCGATTTTAAAAAGTGTGACAAATGTTTAGTCGTGTGTGTGTGTGTGTGTGTGTGTATGTATGTATATGCTGATTAAACTTTCTATTGTGTATCTTTTTGTTGTTCAACCACCACCACCACCTTGGCTACTTCCTCAAATTGTAACTGCACAAGCTGAGAAGTTAGGTCTCTAGTACAATTGCATGCAAGAGGCTGGACTCAGAAGATTGGGCTTTCAATATAATTCCACACTGTGGTTTTCCTGTCACCATAGTGTACCTACTGCTGGTTTTTTGGGGTGTGTGTGTGTGTGTGTGTGTGTGTGTGTGTATTAGAGCTTGAACTCATGGCCTCATGCTCTTGTTTGCCTTTTTTCCACTCAAAGATGGTGCTTTGCTACTTGAGCCATGGCTCCCTTCCAGCTTTTTTGCTTGTTAATTGGAGAGAAAAGACTTATGGATTCGTCCAGGCTGCCTTTGAACACAGGTCCTCAGAGCTCAGCCTCCTGGGTAGCTAGGATTACAGGTGTGAGCCACCAGTGCCCAGCAAGTAGTTGAGATTTTTTTTTTTTTTCTGGGAAGGGGCTAGGATCAAAGGTGTCTATAGAGTAGTTCTCCATTTCACAAGAAGCTATTTTCAGTGTTGGGTTTTTTTTTGGTCGGTCGTGGGGCTTGAACTCGGGGCCCGGATGCTGTCCCTGTGCTTTTCTGCTCAAGGTTAGTATTCTGCCACTGTGAGCTACCGCACCACTTCCGGTTTTCTGAGTGGTTTATTGGAGATAAGAGTCTCACGGACTTTCCTGCCCTGGGCTGGCCTTGAACTGTGATCCTCAGATCTCAGCCTCCTGAGTAGCTAGGATGGTGTGTGTGTGTATTGTTATAAGTAAGAATAAGAGGACGCTTCTTTTTGAATAATGTCACCTCTTCCCTCACCTTCTCCCAGTTTTTCCCTTCTGTCCCCACCCACAAGTTGGATAGCTCATTTTCCACATGGTATCTACTATCACTGTTGTATTTGTTTCCCCTTTGTCCCTCTATTTCTGTGCTCCCCCCTTACCCTTCCAAAGACAAAAAAAGACGAGAGGAAAATGAAAACAGATAAACCAAAA